AATGGGGTGAATGATGGAGGGTTGGTGAGTGAGGGAGTGGGGAGGATGGAGGGAGGGGAGGAGGGAGGTGATGGAGCAAGTGATAGAGAGAGGGGGGAGGAATGATGTGTTATAGAGAGGAAAAGGACAGTGAGATGATAAGGCTGGAAAATTGAGATGTGTGGGGGGGACGCAGGGCTGTGGGACTGGCATGCAGGACCATAACCCTGTCTGCTGATGTGAGCCCTGCCCACTCCTGCCTCCCAAGGTCCCTCCTCACTGTCCTGGCCCTGGGGAGGGAGGAGAAGGAGGAACAGTCTGGGAACGTGGGCAGGTTTGATGGAGGAATACAGCAAGAGGTTCTCCTGGGTCCTTTTGATATATATATATATATATATATATATATATATATATATATATATATATATATATATATATATATATATATATTTTATTTACCGAAAGTGGGATTCATGTTACACACACACAAAAAAAAACTATGACACAAGAATATGAGTTATTAAGGAGGTCACCTAGGTTTGTGAGTTTTGAGGTGACTAAAGAGGCCGATACGGGACCCATAGGGTCGTCCACTGAAGTTGAACATGTGGAGGGCTACATCTAGTGCAGGAGGGGCAGCAGCAGCAGCACTTTCCGGCTTTGACGCTTGTCTGCCTCGGTATGCAGTCGGGCTAAATCGAAAGTATTGACACTTTCTCGTGTGGTGCTCCTCCAAGCGTTATGGTGTGGAGTAATTGACTCCCAGGTGAGGGGTCGATTTGTCATTTTTCAGGTTTGTCTTAAGACTATCCTTTTACCTTTACAGTTGCCCTCTAGTTTACGTTTACTATTCGTTAGGTGACAGTAAAGTAGCTGCTTTGGCAGTCTACTGTCGTCCGTGCGGGTAACAGGGCCAGTCCAACATAGTTGTTCATGGATAATGGTAACCTCGTTACTCCTACACTTGGTGTCAGCGAGAATACTGGCATTTGTTCTCTTGTCTTCCCAGCGAACGCATAGGATGGAACATAGACTACGTTGGTGAAAGTTATCAAGTGCTTTGAGGTGCCTCCTGTATGTGACCCATGTCTCGGTGCCATATAGCAGGGTGGGGAGGACTACTGCTTCATATACATCCAACTTTGTAGATAATTTCATTTTCCTACAGCTGAAGACACGGCTTGAGATGAACATCTGATCAGATGTTAAATCTCTTCGTCGATGTCCGCAATGGTGGACAGGCGGGAGCCGAGATACTGAAAGTGGGTAACATTAGAGAGGGTAGTACCGCCTAGCTGGATGGATGATGGAGGTGTGATTGAACCAGGGGCAGGCTGAAAAAGAATCTGAGTCTTAAATACATTTACCTCAAGGCCGAAATGTGCATACTATTTGCTTAGGAGTTCAGGATTTCCTGTATGTCGCTTTCAGTGTGAGCGACAAGGGTGAGGTCGTCTGCATACTGAAGTTAAGTAACGGAGGCTGCCGACACCTTTGTTCCTGCCTAGAGTCGCCATATGTTGAAAATACCCTTAATCTGGTAGTGGATGTTCACCCCGCCAGCTAAATTGGCACTGGCACGAGTAAGGAAGGCAGCCAAGAAAATGGAAAAGAGAGTTGGTGTCAGTACACATCCTTGTTTTACCCCCTGTGGATGAGGAAGAACTCAGACTGGGTGCCATTGTGCAGGACACTGTGCCGTTCATGCCATCATGGAGTTGCCTCACATTGGTGATGAATTTTGATGGGCAGCCGAAACGGCTGACGCCCGTATTATTAAACAACATCTTCCCTTGAAGAGGGTCGTCGTGTTTCAACCCGAGTTTTAAACAAAATGAGTCCTGAGGGACACCGCAGTACTGTACTTAACGGGGTGGTGTGGCGGTAAAATTAACTAATTCCAATATTATAAATTAATGTTGTTTAATAATACGGGCATGAGTGTCCGCCAGAGGGCTTCCCTGTTGACCAAGTCGAATTGAATTGAATTGAAACAGTTTATTTAGCCAGAAAAACACAGATACAGAGTGGATAATAATAAAATATTAACATGGCTGAGCCAGTTGAGAACCTGAGCTCTTTTAGGCACTTGACATATACTATACATTTATCTCAAGGAAGTATTATGTAACATTTAGTATCATCTGGAATAGTACAATAGCATGGTGGTAATAAGAACATCTCATAATGTTACCACGGTTATCACTTCAATATTTATTAATTTTATTTATTTATTATTTTTTATTTAATTTTATTTTTTTTAGTTTATTTATTTATTTAATTTTTATGTATACATAAATTACAGTGGAATTGAAAAACATAAGTATAATGGGGGAGCAGTACAACATGGGTTGTACAGTAATAAGGTTGAACAAGAGGACAGAGCTGTCAGGATTATGTCTAGTTGGCAATTATGTTTATTGCAATGGTAATTACTTATCTATTTACATGATAATTTCCGATAAAACGGTTTTGATGGTACAATAAAAGCAGGTACTGTAAATATAGTAGGCTTTACAAGAAATATTAATACTTAGACAATAGATATTTTTTAAGAGATGATTTAAAGGAAAGGAGCATAGTCTTTGCTCGATGGGTGAGGGTAAGTTGTTCCACACCTCACCATGATATTTTATGGAGGTCTGGGACTGAGAGGAGCGCATGAGGGGTGGTCTTAGTAGCTCTGGGTGCCTTAAGTTGTATCTCTGATTATTCCGGAACTGGAAATAATTGTTGTCAAGCAAGTGATTGATAGATTTGTAAACAAAGAGAGCACAGCAGTAGGTGTTAATATTTTCGAATTTTAAACTTTTCAATGTAGCAAATTTCTCGTTTGTGTGATCTGTTTTTTCAAGTAGGTCATTGTCCGTACAACTCTCTTTTGTGCAGTAACCAGAGATTGTGTTTTTGAAGAGCCAGAGGCCCCCCATAGTGTGTGACAGTGTATCAGGTGTTGGTAAACAAGATCATGATAGATTTCTTTCATTGCTGTGAGAGTGAGTGACTGTCGAGTGTGATACATGATACAGCACTGTTTATTGACTTTACTGTGAATGGCTTGTATGTGGTTTCTCCAGTTAAGTTTCTCATCAACAATAACTCCGAGGAATTTAGTATTTTGTTCGCATTTGAGGACTGTATTACCAAGGTACAGGGGGTCCAAGTCTGGGGGTAAGTTTTTCCTGTGAAAGATTGTGTAGTGGGTTTTCTTAAGGTTTAAGGTCAGTTTATTACGTATTACCAGGTCCCGACTTTAGTTAATTCAGTGTTCATAGTTTTCATCAAGGAATGGAGGTCTGAGTTGCTGGCATAGAGATTACTGTCGTCTGCAAATAAGTTGTATTTTATGAGTGAGCTGGCGTGTACTATGTCGTTTATGTACAACAAAAACAGTACTGGACCGAGAATGGAGCCTTGGGGGACTCCATACAAGATTGTCGAGGAGTCAGATTGGTGGTTATTATAGCAGACATACTGCATCCTATTGGACAGATATGAGGTAAGCCAATTCTGGGACTGGCTCCTAACGCCGTAATGTTCAAACTTTGAAAGGGGGATGGTATGGTCGACAGTATCGAAGGCTTTAGAGAGGTCCAAGAATATACCGACCGTGAACTGACTGTCATCAAAGGAATTTAAGATGTCATAAGTAAAGGATAGCAGAGCACTCTCAGTCGGCCTTCTAGCTCTAAATCCAAACTGGGAGTCTGTAAAGATGTTATTGGCATTGCAGAAGGAATTTAGTCTATTACGTGCTAGCTTTTCCAGTATCTTACTCAAGGCTGGGAGGACTGATATGGAGCGGTAATTCTTGAAGAAACCTTTGTCCCCAGATTTTTTATATGCCGGGTGAACTTTAGCAATTTTCCGTTTATCAGGAAAGTCACCACTAGTGAAGGAGGAGCTACATATGTGTAGGAGAACAGGTAGTAATAAGTGGGCTACTTTCTTAATGATGCTCATTGGTATATTGTCTTCGCCTGCTGCTGCTGCAGCATCTTGGACATTTTTATGATGGCCAGTAATTCATCTGCTGTGACAGGCATTAGTTAGGTCGATGAAGGCCATGTACGGGTCACGACACTGGTCTCTTTACTTATTCTGTATCTGGCGGGCAACAAAGATCATGTCAGTGGTGCCACGTGATGGTCTAAAGCCACATTGAGATTCTGGGAGGAAGTTTTCCGCTTCAAGGAGGAGTCTGTTAAGGAGGACTCGGGCAATAAGCTTACCAGCTACGGACAGCAGCGAGATCCCGTGGTAGTTGCCACAGTCTGACCGGTCTTCCTTGTTCTTATAGATATTGACGATGGAGGCATCTTTAAGAGCTTGGGGGATTTCCTCCTTTTCCCATATATTTTACAGGAGAGAGTGGAGACGGCTGGGAAGCAGAGGTCCTTCTTCTTTATACACCTCGGCTGTGATTCCATCAGTGTGAAAAACACAACAATTCACAGGAAGCTTCCTGTGAATTGTTGTGTTTTTCACACTGAGGCTCGACTCAATTAATTTAATACCCCCTGTATGGTTTTTTTTTATTTTAATTTTGTACGTAGGTCTCCCGTCATTTTTATTCGGTTTAAAGTATAATGCTCTTTTAAAAACTTTTTCGGAAGGTATTGACCTGACCTGATGTTTTGTAGGTCACTTTTTGTATATAAGCCTTTCTCAGTCCCTGTAACTTCTGTTGCCTCTAAAGATGTCTTGAATAAAGACGAATGCTAAGGTGCTCCAGTGCTTCCCTTTTCCTGTGTGGTTTTATATATATATATATATATATATATATATATATATATATATATATATATATATATATATATATATATATATATATATATATATATATATATATATATATATATATATATATATATATCGGTATATAGTGTAATGATATGGGAAAGGGTGGTGATATCTGACTGCAGGTCGGTCAACTCAGGGAGTGGTATAAGTGTTGTTCATCATTGAGGCCACTAACTAGTACGGGTGTGAGTTACTAATGATCGTTGTTTGTGTTGCAGGTGTGACTGGTGTGGGTGGAGTGAGCCACACGCTGGGGCCGTTGGACGGGTCCCTCTACGCTACTGTGACCAAGAAGCGTCAGCCGCCGACTGCGTCGCCACACTCACCTGTGTCGCCGCATGCACCCTTGGGTCACACGCCCTCGCCGCACGGTCTTGTTAACGGCCGCTACGCCGCCTCTATAGACTCGGGTATTGCCTCCAGCAACTCGGCGGGCGCAGCGCCCGTCTCTCCACCGACTTCAGATACTTCCCAGACGTCAGGAGAATCCCGCGGCACGGCGGCGGCAGTGGCAACGGGGAGGGTGGGTGCCGGGGGGGCACCACCCCTTGTAGATGCTCGCCAGCTGGATGAGCTGCTCCAGGGTATGCTCCTCGACATCCAGAGCATCCCCGACCTCCGCCCCAGCCAGACCCCCGCCCCGGACATAGACTCCATCAGGTGTCCGGACTTTAGCATGGCACCCAAGACGGAGACGCGGCCCAGCTTGGCGTCACGGACTTCTGGGGATATGCACCAGTACGGCCCACAGCCGCCACACTCCCCCGTGAACGGTTACAGCGGCTCCACCACCCACGACTCCCTTCTAGACACTTCCCTCAGCACCACCGCTGATGACCTCCCCTACCACGCCCGCACCGACAGTAAACCTTTCAGCTATGGCGCTGTGACGTCATCTCCACTCCTGGGGAGACGCCGCACAGCTTCTGAAGGTGGAGATGGAGCTCCCGCGCCACCTTCACCCTCGATACATCGCCGTAACTCCCGCGAGACCTTGGGTCAGGCTCGTGCAGGCTTGGAGTCTCCGCGGCTGGTACGGCGTATGTCAGGCAGCGTTGGGGGCAGCCCGGCTGAAGGCACAACTGGCACCAGACGTTCTCCGTCACCGTCGCCGTCACCAGAACCCGGGAGTCGTGGTGGGACGTTACAGCGGCAACGGTCACAAACATTAACCACCCGCCTCATCTCCGGGGTGGACGGCACACTCACCCGTTCAGAGCACACCAGGTCTGCATCCAGGCTCGACGACTCCTTCGACTTCCCCATTGACCAACACAGGTGAGTCTCAGCTGATTTTTAATTAGACTCCAACTCCGACTGTCCCATATAGTTATCTGATCCTGACCTTGATTTGGGTGACAACAAAACGTAATGGCACGATCTGACCTTAAATGATTTTAACGGGTACCTGAAGGCTTGTTCAGGTGTAAACTTCCTGATGGGTCATAATTTACTTCCCGGGTGAGTTACTGTTGTGAATTGTGACCAGCCAGGTGAATTAAACTGATCTCCAGGAGAGAGTTAAACTGTCATATCATTTGAGGTTAGTCGTTAAGGTGTTACTAGCTACATGATACGAAGGACTCAGTTTAAACAACTCGACCTAAAGGTGATCTTTAAACTGGGAGCTTTTTCGATTACCTCCTCCCATCTTTCCCAAGTTAAACTATTATAACAGGTTTAATATGTGAAGCTGTTAGTGACTTAAATTACGAACTTGCTAACCTTTAATGTGTAAATATTCGTTTATCTTGCCCGAGAACCTTAGACAGTCACTATGGACCGGTCATGACAGTCTCTAGGATGACTTCATTAGACAGTCACTATGGACCGGTCATGACAGTCTCTAGGATGACTTCATTAGACAGTCACTATGGACCGGTCATGACAGTCTCTAGGATGACTTCATTAGACAGTCACTATGGACCGGTCATGACAGTCTCTAGGATGACTTCATTTCATTGGTCACACCATAATATACCTTGCCAGATTAAACTAACTTACTTACCTGGCCCAAACTATAACCTTCCTGACCTCCCCAAACTCTCCTAAAAGACCGGGTCAAACAGTAACCCACCTGATATTGGTCTCCCCAGATAGACCATGTGGAAAGGGTGTAGTTGATGTGTGATAAACTGCTCTTCTGGTAGATTGAAACGTAACCTTCCCCATGCACACTAAGCTGGCGTCACGGTGTTGGTTATCACTCGGCACGACAGTACACTTCTGGAGGTGTTACTACCGGTGTGTCTCCACTCTGGCGCGGCGCCTCGGGGTGTACAGCGAGAAGGGTGTTTATTTTGGCCTGGTCACGCAGCTACAATGAAGCTACAGTAATTGTAGGTATTTTACTGTATTTCCCGGTCATCAAACATGTTGTATTTAGGTCACTGTAACAAGCTGGCATTTAGAGAGTAAATTTAGAAAGGTAACAAAGTAGTTACTCGAAGACAAAAAAGACGATTGCCAGCGGGATCGGGCGAGGCCGGGTAGCAAGACTATAGGGAGGGAATCAACCCTCGCTACTCGTGCACTCATTTTACCGAGTCATTAGTAATTACCAGATCACTGCCATCTATAATCATCTCATGGGTTCAAGTCTTAGAGTACAAACGTACCAAGGCTACCATCTTTTTTTGTGTTAGAGCTGGTCGTGTGTGAGTCACGGCTGGTTTGCCTTATATGCAACACTAAGTTATTAACCATGCGTGAGTGTCAAGGTTGTTGGGCCGACATGCAAGAGGTTCTCGTGTGTCGGGTTGGTGAGATTATCGAGTGCTGTTCCTCTAGGCCTTTGTCGTGACCCATCAGTCTGAATTGGTGTTTCTTGAGGATCTGTTCCCTTTTTTCTTCGTAATTAAGAGACATGTTTGGCTTGGTATTCCTCAAAGAACCTGTCTGTTTCGCATGTTAAGGCACTTTGATCTCGCCTGTTTCTTCTGGTGATCCTCTGGGTACTTTTTGATGTCACCCTGTACTTTGTCTTGTGTTCCTTAAGTTACTTGTGTAGTCTAACCTTGTAACAATAAGGACCATTTCTCTGCGGTTTTTTATGGCATAATATGTGTAAAATGAGATGGAGCACTATTAACCTCAGTGAGAGGATGAAGGACAGGGATGATATTAAAGGCTGAGAAAAAGATATATCGATTAAACCTTCAGGTAGGTAATGTACAGAGTTTGGCTGTATTATTATTTATTGTTGTAGCCACAATAGGCGTTAGCACTAAATATATGTGGCTGCTTTTTGTTGTTTGCTACTTCTGTTTATTGTGTCTGCCGGCCCACCCTCCCTCCTTACTATCTCTCATTATTGTGTCTGCCGGCCCACCCTCCCTCCTTACTATCTCTCATTATTGTGTCTGCCGGCCCACCCTCCCTCCTTTGCTATCTCCCATTATTGTCTGCCGGCCCACCCTCCCTCTTGCAATATTGTGTCTGGCCCACCCTCCTCCTTGCTATCTCCCCATTATTGTGTCTGCCGGCCCACCCTCCTCCTTGCTATCTCCCCATTATTGTGTCTGCCGGTCTGCTGGCCCACCCTCCTCCCCTCATTGTGTCTCGCCGGCCCACCCTCTCCTCCTGTACTATCTCTCATTATTGTGTCTGCTGGCCCACCTCCCTCCTCCCCTTACATCTCTCATTATTGTGTCTGCCGGCCCACCCTCCCTCCCCTATCTCTCATTATTGTGTCTGTTGGCCCACCCCTCCCTCCTTCTCTCTCATTATTGTGTCTGCCGGCCCACCCTCCCTCTATCTTACTTCCCATCTCATTATTGTGTCCATGGCCCACCCTCCTCCTTTACTATCTCTCATTATTGTGTCTGCCGGGCCCACCCTCCCTCCTTACTATCTCTCATTATTGTGTCTGCCGGCCCACCCTCCCTCCTTACTATCTCTCATTATTGTGTCTGCCTGCCGGCCCACCCTCCCTCCTTACTATCTCTCTCATTATTGTGTCTGCTGGCCCATTGTGTCTGCTGGCCCACCTCCTCCTTTTTGCTATCTCTCTCACACTCTCACCTCTCCTACTATTGTGTCTGCTGGCCCACCCTCCTCCTTGCTATCTCTCATTTTCATTGTGTCTGCCGGCCCACCCTCCCTCCTTTTTACTACTTCCTCATTGTGTCTGCCGGCCCACCCTCCCCCTATCTCTCATTATTGTGTCTGCCGCCCACCCTCCTCCTACTATCTCTGTCTGCCGGCCCACACCTCCCTCCTTGCTATCTCTCATTATTGTGTCTGCCGGCCCACCCTCCCTCCTTACTATCTCTCATTATTGTGTCTGCCGGCTCATTATTGCTATCTCACATAACAGGCTCCACCACCCTCCTCCTTCTTGCTATCTCTCATTATTGTGTCTGCCGGCCCACCCTCCCTCACACCTTGGCCCACCCTCCTCCTTGGTTATCTCTCATTATTGTGTCTGCCGGCCCACCTCCTCCTTGCTATCTCTCATTATTGTGTCTGCTGGCCCACCTCCTCCTTGCCATCTCCACACTGTGTCTGCCGGCCCACCCTCCCTCCTTTTTGCATCTCTCATTATTGTGTCTGCCGGCCCACCCCCTCCTTACTATCTCTCACATTGTGTCTGCCGGCCCACCTCCTCCCCCCACCCTGCCGGCCCACCTCCCTCCTTACTATCTCTCATTATTGTGTCTGCTGGCCCACCCTCCCTCCTTACTATCTCCTCATTATTGTGTCTGCCGGCCCACCCTCACACAGGTCTGCTCGGCCCACCCTCCCTTGCTATCTCTCACATTATTGTGTCTGCCGGCCCACCTCCTCCTCCTTGCTATCTCTCATTGTGTCTGCCGGCCCACCCTCCCCCTCTTACTACTATCTCTCATTATTGTGTCTGCTGGCCCACCTGGCCCCCCTTATTCTCACACAGGGCGTCTGCTGGCCCACCCTCCTCCTCTCTTACATATCTCTCATTGTGTCTCGGCCCACCTCTCCTTACTATCTCTCATTATTGTGGCCCACCCTCCCCCTCCTACTATCTCTCACCTCCCTCCTTTATTGTGTGTCTGCCGGTGCTATCTCTCATTATTGTGTCTGGCCCACCTCCTCCTCCTTACTACTCTCTCATTATTGTGTCTGCCGGCCCACCCTCCCTCCCCTTGCTATCTCTCATTATTGTGTCTACGGCCCACCTCCCTCCTTTTTGCCATCTCTCATTATTGCCCTGCTGGCCCACCCTCCCTGCCGGCCCACCCTTCCTCACTATCTCTCATTATTGTGTCTGCTGGCCCACCCTCCCTCCTTACACCCCCTCCCTCCTACTATTGTCTGCCGGCCCACCCTCCCTCCTTACTATCTCTCATTATTGTCTGCCGGCCCACCCTCCCTCCCTTATCTCTCTATTGTGTCTGCTCATTCCACCCTCCCTCCTTGCTATCTCTCTCAAGTCTGCCTGGCCCACCCTCCCTCCTTGCTATCTCTCATTATTGTGTCTGCCGGCCCACCCTCCCTCCTTTGCTATCTCTCATTATTGTGTCTGCTCGGCCCATCTCTCCTCCTTACTATCTCTCATTGTGTCTGCCGGCCCACCCTCCCTCCTTACTATCTCTCATTATTGTGTCTGCTGGCCCACCCTCCCTCCTTGCTATCTCTCATTATTGTGTCTGCCGGCCCACCTCCCTCCTTACTATCTCTCATTATTGTGTCTGCTGGCCCATCCTCCTCCTTACTATCTCTCATTATTGTGTCTGCCGGCCCACCCTCCCTCCTTGCTATCTCTCATTATTGTGTCTGCCGGCCCACCCTCCCTCCTTGCTATCTCTCATTATTGTGTCTGCCGGCCCACCCTCCCTCCTTACTATCTCTCATTATTGCGCTGCCTAACGCTTTTCTAAATCGACTTGCAATGTGAAAGTTGTAACACGTTTGTGTAGCTTGGATACAGTTCCTCATTACAGTAATTGTGTGGCGGAGGTCGCCACTGCCGGGGAGGGGACAGCTGACTGGTTGACCTCGTGTCTTGTGGCACTTTATGGATGCCTGTAAAATTGCTGGTTCAGTGTGTCAGTGGTGGTGGCTGGTGACCTGCCTCAAGGTTGGGGTGTGACCTGCATAAGCTTGTTGTTTTAGCCCACTTAAGTCGAGGATTCACTGAGTTTTAGACATATTTTCAACCTTCTGAAACTTCCGGGTGGATTGTGTTGAAACTACACAATTGTTCCTTGGGTGACTCTCTTTCCGATGTGTGTCATTTACACAACATATCCAAAACTACCAGTCAGAGGCAACTGATGTGTGGCGGCAGTGTTCCCTGA